GCATCAAGCCATCTGTCTGGTGTCAGGTCATCAACCTACCCTATCAAAATTTGATTTCATTGGGATCATCTTTTTTGTATAGTTACTGTTTCCATAAACTCTTTTCTTACCTTTATTTATTTTTCTTGGCTTAAATTCAAGCAAATGCTGTTTTGTTGTTGTTGTTGTTGTTTAAAATCAGACCATGCAATAGATTTTCATCACTAGAAATTCATGGGTATCAACTTCAGTTGGACTCACAATCAAACTAGAAATTCTACCAATGTATCTTTCTGTCTGATTCTCTTTCTCATTCTTTTCTCCATTTCACTCCATTCGATTCTCTCCAGATGATTGCTTCTTTTCACCATCCCTTTCCTCATAGGTGACAAAATTGAGGCTATGTAGTTTTTATCTACCAGTCCAGATTTATAAGTTAAATCTTCACGCACCTTCTACATTTGTCTTATTATTTATAAAAGATTGAGTCCCTCATGGCCTGTGATTTGCATCTTATTGTCCATCACACTAACAGTTATTATTTCTCTTTGTGTACACTCAGATATTGCCTACCAAATTAAACCATATTCTTCAATATCTAAACATGATTGACTGTCTCCCATCTTAAGGAAATAAGAATAAATAAAAAAGCTAAACCCTTCCCTTGATCCCATATCTTCTTCTCTATCCTCTGTCAGATTTCTCTGTCCATTCAGTCAAACTTCCACTAGGAGTTTTCGAACCTGTTGTCTGCACGCCTCCACTCTGGTTGGCCTTGCCTTGTCTGGTTTCCATTTCTGCTACTTCATACACTCAGCTCTTCCTTTGGGCACTTCTGATATCAATGGCATAGATAAGTAGGATTTTAAATGTCCATTTTTACTTAGTGTTTGACTAACATTTGGTCCTGACATCTCCTACTTCTATCTTCCCTTTATAATTCTACACACTTAAATTTTTTTTTTTAATTCTGTTTGTCTTTTTTGTAGGATCATCTTCTTTAGTCTTATTGGAGAAGAAAGTATGGGGCAAAGAGTGACCTAGGACAAACTCCTTGGAAGCTACAGTGTTTAGTACACAAGATGGAAATTATATTTAATGATATATATATATATACATCTCTGTGATATATATATATAATATGTCTCTGTGTATATATATATATGTCTCTGTATATTATATGTACATACATACACACACACACACACACACACACACATATATATATTCCTACTTATCATCAATCATCTCTTGAATGCCTGCTTTTTGCCCATCAGTATTTGAGCTTTGAGGACACAAAGTTGAATCAACCTCAGTTACTGCCTGAGGTCACAGATAGTAATGATATGTATGTATGTACCTTACTTAGATTCAGATGGCTGGAACAGCAGTGTTAGTCATTGGTGTGTGTCCTACAGATGACTATTTTATTTATTATAGAAATTTGAATGTGAATATTTAGAAATAGGTTTTGATTGTGTCACGTTTATTTTTTGAAAGCAAATGTGTAATTTAATTTGAACTTTACATAGGCAAAATTTGTTAAGAATTAAAATCCAAGTCCACAAAGATAAAGAGGTTTATAGGAATCAAATACCAATTGATTCTCTTCTTCTACATTGGGGTGGGAGTTATGTTTCTGATGAGAGATAGAATGGGAAGGAATTTAATTTTATTTGATATACATGTGTTTTATGGATGTTTTCATCTCATGGTAACATAGACTACTGAGCTGTGTGTACATTATCTCATTTAATCCCCCCCTAAAGTCCATTATAGCAAAGAAAACTGAAGTCTTCATTTTACATAAGTTAAGATTATACAAGTAACATTATTAACTTTCTACATTAAGTAACAGTTTAAGAGTGTGAACTAAATATATACCTGACTTAGGAGCCTTGAACTCTTACCAGTATCTCATGAAAGAAAATCATCTATTTGTCCCTCAAGAAGATACATTTCAATTGTTCTTTCTTCTCCCTTATTGTGTAATTTTATATGGAATTCTGTGCAGACTTCATAGACAACTTTTGTGCTTTATATGCATTTTGATATGTAATCTTTACACATCAAGACTGTTCTATATCTTTTCAAATAAATAAATAGTCCTGCAAGAACAAAAAAAAAAGGAAAATTAAAGGCAAATTATTTTTCAGGTATTTCTAGCATTTATAATATTTTGTGCCGCTGATCATTTCACATATACCATTCAGTATTTACCTGTGGTGTAGGCAAAAGGCAAAATTGTACAGATGAGGCTACAAAGACCCAAGTTAAACAAGCCTTGCCTTGGTTATAGGTTATGACAGACCAGCAGCTAGGTACCAACTGGGCTTCCCGACATCTAGTTTCAGAACTTCCTCTGCGCTGAGTGTGCCGGCTAAAGCTGTCTTTGTTCTGTGAGGTTTGCCATTGTTTCCCTTATACTTTAACTCAACTTCACTCATTTAGTTAATAATCCAGGAATGTTGCTGGAGTAGCAAAAATTTGATTAGAATCATCACCTTCAGTATTTCAGGTAATGGGGTGGAGGAAAACAGAGTGAAGAGCAAAACCCATCCAGTGTGTACCCAGGCTGGCTCCCGGATGGGCTGAATTTGACATCTGGTGTGGCTTCCATGCCTCTGCTGTCTGGGTAGCCCTGGCTGACTACTTGACTCCAAGCATTAGCTCTGACCTGAGCACTAGCCCAAGCCAGCTTGCATAATTAAGTCTAGAGATTTGATTCCCCTGACTGGACAGAAGAGCCCAGCAAGGTGAGGGCTCTGTTGAAGTGCTAATGCTGATTAGATCTGTAGCAGTAAAGAAATCTGATCTTAGAAACGTCTTCTAGCTCCAGTTAATGAGGCAAAGACAACACTTAGCAGGGAAAATGAGGTCACTAAAAAGAGAAACTTTTTTTCCTTTTCTTTCATCAAGAACCAATCATTTTGCCTCCTTTTATATCAAGGCCTAAATTTATTGTCCTGAATAAAGCTCAATTTAAATTGAACAAATAAGCAACTTTTTCTCAGGGGTGTAGTAATCCTGTGTTTAAACTTAAAGCACAGGAAGTTAATTCAAGAAAGTAAAACCAAGATAAGCCTAGAAGTTAAAATAATTTTATCGAATACAGAGAATGATAAAACTGAAGTAACTAACAATGATTAGTTGTACAGATGTGGGATTTATTTGTTAGCATGTTACTTTTAAAGAAAATGTTTTATTACTGTTCTTTCTATGCTAGGATAGACTTAGACAAACCTCAATGTTAACCATGTTGATGAGCATTTTTTTAAGTTTATGGAGCACCTTTACCTATGCTACTATTTAATCCTCCTGAAACTTTAAATGGAAAGCTATATTATTTTCACATTATGGAGTTAGGATATGCTCTAAAAGTTCCACATCTCAAATCAATGTGATTTTTCCTGAGAAGTTATACCTAGGAGAGCTTGGAGTCAAATACATCACAACTGCTTCCTGCTATGGATTAAAGTTTTTTATTCTGAATTTTCTTTCTTTCTCAACCCTTTCCCCGATATTTAGAAAATGTCATGGCAGTTGTGCTTATTCCAAACACATGTATATAAAAGATGAATTACACCTGCACATGTACACACTTCTGTGTTCAGAGATTAGCTGTCATTCCATCTTGTGAAGTATTTTTCTTCCCACAAAGACCCCATCCTCCTCCTTCTACTCAGGAGATTATGTTCATTTCATTCCACAAACACATAGCACCATGCTATTTCATTGTCTATTGTTCCTTTGGCCTATTGGGGTGTGAATTAGATCAAATAGATTCAAACAGATTAAAAAGTCTGTTAGTGGACCTCTATCTTTGCAAGTTCAGGTACTTAAAAGTACAGATTATTTCTTTTATCACTTGATGTTCTTAATTGTTAGCATTCTGCTTGGCACATGGCAGGTACTCAGTTAAACAACAGAATGGAGAAGGTTAATAGGAGAAATTTACTTTAAAATATTTTAGATTTGTTAATGGATTCCTGAATTGATGGGCATTCAGGCTGTTCTCACGTCTTGGTGATTGTAAATTGAGTTGCAATAAACAATCTAGTGCATATGTGCTTATGATAAAATGATTTTTTTCTTCTAGTTAGATTCCTAGTAGTGGGGTTATGGGGTCAAATGGGTTCTCTGAGGGTTCTCCATACTTCTTTCTAAATAGGCTGTATTAGTTTGCAGTCACACTAACAGTGTAAAAGTGTCTGGCTACATCTGCACAGCATCTGCAACTTTGGGATTTTGTGACGTGGGCTAATTTTACTGGGATTAGATATCTCAGGGTAGTTTTGATTTGCATCCCTGTGATGCTCGGCACACCATGGAATACTGTTTAGCCATAAAAAGTTGGTGGTGCCTTTACATCTTTGTATTAACCTGGATGGAGTTGAAAACATTCTTCTCAGTAAAGTATCACAGTAAAATATTGGAAAAGCAAATATCCAACGTACTCAGTACTAATATGAAGCCAGTAGATGATCTAATTCACACCCACATAGGAGAAAACTCATTTCAGTTCAAATTGAGGGGAGAGGGAAGGAGGGACAGAGAAAAGGAGAGGGGGGGTTTGACGTGCCCCCACTGAATGGGCATAACATAGGAGTGATGTCACACCTTTTGGGTAAGGACGTACTTACAAGGGGGACCCTACCTAACAAATTAAAATACTGTGATTTGGTCATCTGTACCCTCATATTTACCTGACACTAAAAAAGAAAGTTACGAGATTTGCTATATCTGCCCAGTCATTCTATTGCTATATATTGTCTCTCCAGGAAATCTAACAATCCTTGATAATAGCTGCTTAAAAATTTTAAGCTATTTGACCTGAGTAGTTTTTTTAATTTTTTTTATTTTTTTTTTGTTGACCCGTGTAAGGTTTATGAAATTATAAGTTTTTAATTCTTAGAAAACAAAAATCAAATTTACTTTTACCTATATTCAGTTATCCTCATTTCCCTGTGAACATTCCTTAAAAATGATTGTTGTAAATGTTTTCTATTTCTTCCTGACAGGTAATATTTGAAGCTGAAGTCTCAGGAGGAAGAAGTGGTTATATTGCCATTGATGACATCCAAGTCCTGAGTTATCCTTGTGGTAGGTTGTGATTTAGAATTGTATTTTTCTGTGTCCTGTCAACCCTTGTCTTGAATTGGCAGTGACCATTGCTTGTTTATCACTTAGTCATCACTGCCTTTTCTTGTCCTTACTCCCAGCCTTCTGTTGAAGTTTAAAAGAACACTGAAATATTTCTTGAGTTTTGAATTAAATGCTTTTTTTTTTTTGACTTGTATCTAATTATACACACATTTAAAGGATTATTTTAAATAATTTAATTCCTGAGAACAAAATATAAATGCAAAGACAACTCTTTATGGGACTTTTTTTTTTAATATCATTAAATTATCTAGAAAAGCAAAGAATGACAAGTTAAAGTTCACCAGAAAGGAAAGTAAAAATACTAAGTTTTTTTTATATACTAAGCTAAGGGTTGGGATGAGATGAAGGGAATGAATTAATCTTATTCCAAATGTAGGACTTTTTTATTTTTTGCTGTCATAATAAGAATCCAGTTAATCTTAATCTATACTTTAAAGAATGGAAAATGAACCAAACGAGAAACTAACACATAGTTTTGCCGTGTCTTTTGCTGCACAGTGGTTGGTGTTTAGATGGTGTGCCTAAGTTTGTGTTTATATCACACCCCTGAAAAACAATTACTGCATGCAGTTAATAGAGCCAGGCAAAGAGCACCTGGCATAAAATCAGACATCACCTATATGTCCCATCAGCAGCATTTCACAGGGCCTGTGAATTCTGGATTATCTGTTCAGTGATCTTTGCTGGTAGAAACCTCCTCTCTAACATACTAAGCAGCATGCACAGGGGCCAAGTGAGGGGCTGAGACAATGCTGCTGAGCGGTTGTCCGTCCCCATTGCACATCTGAATCACCTGCAAGGTGTAGTAAATCACAGGTTGCCTGGTCCCCCCTCTGGTTCAGAGTCAGTAAGTCTGAGAGTAGCCTGAGAATGATCATTTCTGTTAATTGCCATATGCTACCGATGCTGCTGGTCTAGAGTTTACCACTTGACCACTGCTTGACCACTGCTGGTCTAGAGTTTACCACTTGACAACAGGTTGACCATTGCTGTTCTAGCTCAGGTAGTCCTGGCTTCAAAGCTCCCACTGGGGCAAGACCCTAGAGAAAGAGGTAGCAGGCAAATGTTAAGTCATATAATCCATAAGGTGTAATTTAAGGAAAAGAACAAAATCATTTCACTCAGAGTTCAAGTTGGTTTACTGAGTTCTTTCAGTATAAGAGAACTGTGTTTCTGCCTGCAGTTCATTCTTCATGAAGTTCTTTTTTTTTTTTTCCCAAAAAGTCTTTCATGACTAAATCAATAGAAAATCATGAATTGAGCACAATGGCAATTGTAGTGTGATTCGCTCCTCCATGAGCTTTTTAATCCCTGTGGCTTAGATTTTGCAGTTTACATTTTCTTTCGATGGAAAACATGGATGAGGTTCTAGTTTTAAAAGGTTAACTACAGAGAGTATCTGTTTGCCAGTTGTAAGACTCATGTAGATTTGGACTGCCGTCATCACTTTTTGTTGTTCTAATACGGGTGTTTCTTTTGGGTATCTTTCCTGCAGCTATAAAGGACTAGGAAGGAGATCTAATGAACAGTTTAGCTGATTTTCTATTAGAGAGAAACAAAAACATTCTCTTGTTCTTTGAAGTGCTAGAGGGTTATAACTATTGAAGTTTAAAAGAAAAAGAAAATCTAACTGCTTAAATTGTAGCTTAATCAGTTCAATGGCCATGTAACTGTCAGTGTTTTAGAAATCATTACATGTTTTCATTATATTTTTATACTATGCTCTGATTTGTGCCTAGTTAATCTCTTTTGCTTGTGTTGACATGTTACTATTTTATTAGCACCATATGCAGCATGCCATGGCAGCCATCCAGCAGTAATTGTTGAGGGCTCAGGCTCAGCCTGTATAGAACAATACTCTAGCAATTCTAAGACAGTAAGTAATCGAGCTACTGAGAAAACGTGAACTGTGAGGAACACAGCCTTCCAGCACCAACCTGCTGCCCCATCATTTTCTCCTGCATAGTAGTCTTGGCCAAAGTTGACAACATTAACAATATTCTGGTATGGTAAAGTAACATGGCATCTTTCTTCATGTGAAAAACAATAATTTTTTTTCTACCTTCACAGATAAGTCTCCTCACTTCCTCCGTCTGGGGGATGTGGAGGTGAATGCCGGTCAGAATGCTACATTTCAGTGCATTGCCACAGGGAGAGACGCAGTGCATAACAAGTTATGGCTGCAGGTAAGGCCAAGTTGGCAGGGCTGCTGTAGAGTGCACTTGATCAAAAAAGAAAAATAAAAACTTCTCCTGTACTGTTGTGGTCTTACCCTCGTTGGTGTCTGGGAGCCAGGTTGTCCATTTGGGTTTAATTTAATTGGTTGTATATTTGTATTGGAGATTTCTCTTTTTGGAATACAAGTCAAAAATATGAGAGTATATGCTTCATAAGTATCTGTGTAGGTACCGAGTGAAACCTAACGATGATTCTCTAATGTTACATGTTCAAACTGCAAAGAAATTTCTCTATATCCATTTGAAATGTGAATAAAAATGAATTTTTTTCTCATTTAAAAATATTTTGAAAACTGAACCTAGAAGAGCATAGTACTTGAACAGGAGCTGTCATACTCTGATAAATTTTTAAGAAGTGTTTTAAGAAACTCGAAGGAATATTTCAGGAAATATGAATTGGAAGAGAGCCAATTAAAATTTTTTCAGAATTTTTTGTGTGTGAGCATTAATCACAGATTGGAGGGCAAGACATTTGCCCCACACATATTAAATCCTTAATAAATTTGTATTTAATTAATTGGAATTTATCAAACATGTTAGGGAGATACAAATGGTGCACAGAAAGAGCTTTAAAAGAATCAGAGCGAGAACTGTAAAACTAAGGAATATCCTTTCCTTCAGAGAATTTATAGAAAGCGTATCTCTGAGAAATGTGGTACAGGGGGCTGGAAGGAGCTGAGAGCAGCTCTAAAGCCAGAGCCTGGACCTGGTACAGGATTCCGTTGGGTGAAATACTTGAAGCTAAATGATATGTAAGTAATAATAATCTCTGAGCATCTTTATTGTTGTTATTTTGGTTCTCTCTGCATCAGAATGAGGAAAGGGATTTAATTAGTGCGGAATTTTAAATTCCCGAGAATGCCAATAGAGACCACAAAGAAAAATCCTGTAAGATGAGCTTAGTCTCTTTAACATAGACATTAGGATTTATTTTACCATATCCTTTGAGAGGAGAAGGTGTGTTGGGATCATCATTAGTTTGCAGGTGTTTTGGGTCGTGGTCATAATAAATGATCACTGAAGCCATCCCTAGTATCAGGTCTGATATTGTGGGAGGTGTTATGTGTATGTTGTTTCATCTAATCCGTGCAGTAATCCAGTTGCAGTTCATAACAGATATATTTCCTGCTAATCTAATCATCACTACTTTTATCATTTATTTGATTTACAGGTATCAGGATATCATTTTTTTGTTTGTGTGTGTCCAAATGTGAAAAGAAAATGAAGCTCCCTTTTCTTCTGTGCTTATGCTTATTTCCACTACAGATACAGAAATATAGGATAATTTTTCCTGGAGAGTATATAATGTGCAGCCTATTTTACCAGCTAAACATCAAGTCAGTGCTCCTCACTGTCACCTAACTAAATAGTTTAAAAATGATAGATATGTTTTCTAATTATTTTACTAATATTTTTGGTTTTTTATAGATTAGTTGGCATTTGGCTCTAGATGTGAGCCATACAGTCTTTTCTTGGAGAACCAGATGATCTGTAGTCTGCCCTTAGTTTTATGCCTTAGGACTTAATGTGACATCGAAATAAAAAGGGTTTTGTGTTCTCAGTCACCAGCTGCCTTGTGGCAACAAAGACTTTCTGGACCCTCTGGTTTGAGTGGGTTGCAGTCAAAATACTGCTTATCTTTTTTTGTTTCTTATTTTGTAGCTTGGTCATTTCATAACATTTCGTAAAGTTTTTCTCCTGCCATTTTTTCAAATAAAGATGAGAAAATATTTCACTAGAGTTTCTGCTTTCTTCCTTCACCTTCCTTCACTTTGCATTTATTGCAGAAAAGTGAATTTGTGTATTTTCCTCTTCAATTTTGAAATTGACCTTACCTAATACTTCAGCACTGTCCATATCCACCTCATTTATTTAAAAGCTATTCTACCTTTTTCAATAATATCATATAAATTACATTAACTTACTCTCTTTAATAATTCTTCTCCTGGTAGAAATATTGAAATCTACTAGTTACTTAGGAAATATTTTTAAATTAAGGTAAAACTTATTTTTACGGTAATACTATGTGACAATGACCCAAATAGTGGCAATGACTTGAAAAAACTTGCTCATCTTTTACTGAAAGTAGTATAAACTCAATAAAGCAGGAATAATTCTGGTTCCACAGTAAATCTACCAGTTAATCCATATGAATAGATGCCAATTTATTTTCATTTGGTATAAAACAGCACCCTATAGTTCAGGAAGCCTTGTTCTTAATTCTAACCTTAAGTCTAACCTTAACTCTTCTAATCCAGCTAATTGTCCTGGGCTTAGAGATGTCATTGAACTGTTCTGGGCCTTAATATTTTTTTATCTATAAAATAAGATCCTGGATAGAGACTAAAATCCCTTCCAGCTACAAGATGCTAAAGTGGGTCTTCACATTATTTTAGAGGGCCTGAAACATAGCCTCAATAACCCTTTTTGTTTGATGGAAGAATATAAAATTTTTATGTTATTAGTTTTGTATGTGAAGAAAGATGGTCCCTTAAATTAATTATCATTTGTGAGAACAAATGCTTAAACTATCTGCTGAGTGTATTAAGAGTGAATGTACTTGAAGCAACTCAATGAAAGGTCACTGCCGTCCATCACAGAAGTAATGGGATAATAGAGGAGCTGTAGTACCTGCCGTGGTTGGGCAATGAATGAATGGCGGTCAACTTTTGATGTCCTCCAGATATCTTACATTGTGTAGGGTTGAGTTGGTAAGATGTAGTTTAAATATGGGGGAAAGTAGCAAAAACTAGAAAAGCTGCCAATTTTCTATTTTAATGGAAAAATGATACACTGAAAATCTATGACAAGTAATGAACATAATATCTGATTATATTTGATACTTGAAATTAGTTTATGGAAATACGTTTAGAGAATAAATGGTCATGTGTCTATTGCTTCTGGGTTGCTTCTCATATTACAGTCATTTTTGTGGCCTACAAATGAGATTAAATTATAAATGGAGGGAAAAAACCACAAACACTTAATGAGTCAACTGAGCTAATCTAGGGTGATTCATAACACATATCTCTGTGGTTTCGAAAGTGCCCTTAGGAGAATGTTCTTTATTATTTAGACTTGGATTATCTAATTATAGCATCTTTGACGTAGGTTATTTGATTAAAATATAGAGAAAGATAATGATTAAATATACAACGCAGATTAGCCTTTTGGTACATTCTGATGGAACTCAGGATGTATAAAACAACATGGGTGAAAGTTTTTAGAATGCTGTTTAGTGTCAACTAGTTATAAATCTGGAGGAATTGTGACACTTTCTGAAGCACAGCTTTAAAAAGTACGTTGTGCAGTACATGTGTGCAGTAAAAGAAACTTAGAATAAAGTCTTTAGTCACTCTTAAAAGAACTTCCAAGTTCTTTTTTTATCATAAAGCTGAAGGAAGTAATGTGTAGTCCAAACACCTAACAAGTTTCGTCAACTTAGCACTTTGTAAAATTTCCCACATGAACAGGTGTTTTTCAATTCTTATAACAAATTTTACAATTAAGCCATTTTAATGGAGCAGTAATCCCCCTTTATCCACAGAGAATAAGTTGCAAGGTCCCTAGCAGAGACCTGAAACTGTGGATAGTGCCCAACCCATGTATTACATGTTTACTAACACACACATACCTATAAAGATTAATTTATAAATTGAACATAGTAAGAGATCAGGTGAAACACAGGTTACAGGAAATAAGATCACAAATGAAATTCTAACATATAATTTATACTGGAATGCAATAATAAGAACTTTGGTTATTTTTCTGAGTATTGTCAGATAATTTTTTTCATATGGTAAAAAATAAACAAAACTTAGGTGGTACAATCTTATAGTTTAAATGTTGGTTATGTGCTTTTGAACATAATTCTTGGTAATATGACTAATAGATAAAGTGATTGCAGGAAAACATAAATCTATATGCAGATTACTAACATATGGTACAGTAGCTCCACTCTAAGTATTTACCCAAGAAGAGACATTAAGGCATGTGCCACAAAGACTTGTACAAGAATGTTTATAACAGCTTCATTCATAATAACCAATGATGGGAAAGCACCAAATGCCCATTAGCAGGAGAATGGATAGACCATTTGTGGTTCACGTAAGCAATGGAATGCTGCTCAGAGATCAAATAGTGAACCACTGATACCCCCAACAGCAGCATCAGTAACAAGGGTCTGCAACATTATGTTTTTGAAAAGGGAACATATGACTGCATACTTGATGTTTTCATTTAGACTAAGTTTCAGAAGAGACAAAATCAATCTATGGTGATAGAAATCAGAACAGTAGTTGCCTGTGGGGGATATGGGTTGATGAAATGTAGACAAGAGGAAACTCTTTAGGACCATTAAAATGTCATAGCCCTTGGTTGAGGCATTGGGTCTATGGGTGCACTTACCTTTATCCAAGATTAAGATCTGTCCAACTTCCTGTATGTGTGTTTTACCTAAATAAAACACACATGAGGAAGAAATGAATTTTATCAAATAACCTACTTTCTGGCAGTCTTGATCAAGCCATAGATGGCAGTAGCCTACAGACATTGCTTGCGTTTTTGTCCATCTTGTCCATTTGAATTGATTTGATTAGGTTCAAAGATAATTTGGAATCATTAGTCTCGGTTGAAATACAGAGGACGGCACATTCTGAGTGTTCTGCTTTTAAGAATGCCTTGTAACTTGAAGATACGAAAAGGTCACCACTGGGGCTGGACTGTGATGTGTACATTAGTATTCTTTTGTGAAGGTCCAGTATAAGTGGACACCTACATGGCAAATCAAATAGAGCCTATTGCTGGAACATCTGTCAGACCATATGCTTTGGCTTCAGGTTCCGTGTAGAAACTAAAATGCTAATGACTCCATCCATCATTACAGAAGTTGGCAGACACGCATCTTTGAATTGGGCAGAGAAATTCAACAGTGGAGTTGTTGAAAGAGA